GACTGCTACCTGGTTCAAACCCACCAGCCACTCCTTGGAAGGAAGGTTGGGCAATCTACTTCTGTAGTGATACCGCCTCGGAAACCCAAGGAGGGGTTGCTATGAGTTGGGTCTGACTCGATGGCACATAACAACAACGATATACCATAGACTGACAGAAGAATGAACAAATCGATCTTGGAAGAAGGTCAGCTGGAATGCTTCTTAGAAATGAGTATGGCAAGACTTCATCTGGCTTACTTTGGACACATCATCAGGTGGGACCAATCACTGGAGAAGGACATCATACTTAGATAGTAGAGGGTCAGCAAAAAAGAGGGAGACTCTGAGTGACATGGACTGACACAGTACCCACAACAATGGGCTCACACCGTCCTACTGTTGTGAGAACGGCACAGGGCCAACAATGCTTCCTTCTGTCACAGATGAGCTTTGTTTGAGTCGGAGCTGTCCTGATGGCACTTAACAACAATAAGATTTTACACACTCTCCAACACTCCTTAAAGTGCCTTTCACAAGGCACTTTTCAACATTCTCCAAACTGTAATATATGAGAGTCATTTGTTCTTCTCCTGGAGACTTTTTTTTTTCCCCCTAGACCAGGGTCTGCAAACTATCTTAAAAGAGCCAGTAGCATCTATTATAGTGTTTGTGGGCCACCTATGTCTCCGTTGTATATTCTTGTTTTGGTTTTACAACTTTTTTTTCACCATGTCCTTGAGACCCATCCATGTTCTTGCTTATACCCACAGTTTGTTTATTTTTTGTTGCTAATTAGCATACTCTGGTAGCATAGTGCCTAAGGCAGTTGACTGCTGCTAACCAGAAGGCTGGCAGTTCCAACCCAAGAGCCACTCCTTGGAAGGAAGGTTGGGCAATCTACTTCCATAGTGATACTGCCTTGGAAACCCAAGGAGGGGTCGCTATGAGTCGGGTCTGACTTGACGGCACATAACAACACCACCACCACCAACTAACTTAAAGGTTGGTAGTTCAAACCCAGCTAGTGGCACCACAGAAGAAAGGCTTGACAATCTGCTTCTGTAAAGATTACAGCCAAGAAAACCTATGGACCCGTTCTGCTCTGTAACATGTGTCATCACTGTGAGTCAGCATCAACTCGACAGGAACAGGTTTGGTTTTCTGGTTTTCATGGGACACTTAAACATATTTATAGGTTTAGAGTAAGAAACCAGCACACCAGGGCAATGGTGTGTATAAACCCCACTGTGGAAGTGTGAGCTTTGGTTTTGTGTTGGATAAATGAGGGCCAGTTTCCCAGCCAGCATTTTCTTAATATCCATCAACATTATACAAATGGAGCTAGTTACTCAGAGTATACGTAACACATGAAAGTCCATGTAAATTTTATCTATGCATTTCTAGTGGCCTTTCATGTCTTTTAAAATCCTATACTATAAGGTGGAAAATGTCCACTCTTCTTTTTATGCAGTTACATAAAGTATGAAATTCTTTTAACTGGCACCTTGATTAATGGTGGAATCTCTTCAGTTGGATGAAGTCCAGAGGACGTATTTGATGCAATTTATTTCGCTAATTCAAACAGATAAATGGCATGAATAGTCCATTTCAAGACCTCATTCTTTAGCAAGTGTGATGAGGCCCCTCCTCATTTAAGTTTTCTATTGCACAAGCCTCTATTTGATTACACACTTATGAATATTCATGGTCTCAAACATTCTCATGGAATTAAACAAAAATGTTATTCAAGGCTTGAATTATAAAATATCTAAATAAAAAATTATCTTTGGAGAGTCCCTAACTTGTATTAGAATGAGATGTAAATCCTGAAGGTTGAGCATGAACGTATGAGAGCTGTACATAATATGATGCAGTAGTCAGTCTCCAAGGAGGGCTCAATGATCCTCACCTTCTCACTTCCCAATTTTCATGTCCTGTGTAGTCCCCACTCACAAGGAATTGACTTCACTTGTGTAACCAATAGGATATTGCAGAAAGGCTGGTGTGTGACTTCTGATGTTGGGCTTTAAAAAACATTGCTTTCATCTTCCTTTCTTTAACCACTCCTCTGGGTAGAGCCAGCTAATATGTTGTGAATACAGCCAGCTAATATGTGAGTGTTCAAAAACCCTATGGAGAGGCCCACATGGGAGGAAACTGAGGCTTCCTGTCAACAGACAATGAGGACCTGAGGCCTCTGATAGCAGACAGTATCAACTTGCCAAGGACATGAGTGGCCATTCATCAACCTGAGTCAAGCCTTCAGATGACTGCAGCTCTGGTCAACATCTTGATTGAAACCTCCTGGGAGATTCTGAGCCAGAACCATCCAGTTAGCTGTTCTTGATTTTTTCACAGAAACTGTTTGTGTTGCTTTAGGCTGCTAAGTTTTGGGGTGACTATTAAATAGTAATAGATAATTAATGCCTATTTAATTTTTATTTTTAAAGAATGTGTTAATTCATCCCTTACTTTATATAATACACAGAGATGCTGGTTGCAAGAAAATCAATCAGCCTCTCTGACTTTCTTATCTCTGAAGTGGGGATCACATCCTGCTTCCCTGGATTAGCCAGAGGGTTAAATAAATTAATCTACATGTAAATTAATTTACATGCAGGGCCAGCAAGAAATGGAGGAAACACACACAAAATTACAGGGTCTGATGTTTCACAAAGAAGATTGGAAGGCATCCCTTAATATGCTTTATCACCAGGGTCCCAAGTAATTCTTGGTCTCTGTATTATATGAAAGGGCTTTGCAAACTTGGAGGGAAATATAAATGTTATTTATTAGTTTTATTATGCTTTTAGTTCTATTACAGAAACTTCCTTAGATTTCTATTCTTAGTTTTATAATATGTACATTATAATTCAAATCAGAAAAATGAAAATTAGATAAATAGAAAATATTATATTGATCAAGGGACTAAGGGATAGCACTGCTTAAATAGAGGTGGCCCAGTAGGTTTCTTTTTTGTAATTTGACCTTGCCCTGTAGGAGTGATCTTATTTCTCACCTTCTC